CTTCAGTGACTTGTTCAGTATTTATCTTATCACAAGATTTCAATATTATATCTTTACTCAATTGATTCATGATGATCAGAATGTTTCTATAACTCTTACTCTCAGATAGATTGACAGCAAAGTTAATTGCTACATCTCATCAAATTCTATTAGAGATATTGAGTGATTTCAATAGATCTTTTCTACAGTTCTTTCATAAGATAACAGAAGAACAGTGATTACAGTTTCAGATGAAGTATCTGATGCTGTTTAATATCTTAGATCAGTAGAACTCTCAGAAGATCATTCTATACAGTTATTCACAGCCTGAATAACTGATTATACACAAATCATGCATCTCTTGTATTATCTGAGTGTGTAAGAGTTCAGAGTGAGAGACTCAGCATTATTTATGAAATTGTAGAGTGTTATTTTCATCAATTGAACATTCTGAGATATCAGTTCTTATATGTAGTTCTAAGAGAAATCAAGGTGCTTCTTGATATACTGCTTTGATGAGAGTCTGAAGAAGTTCATCTGCCTGAGCTGCTATATATCACAGTTCATTCAGTGTAGAGAAAGTGAAGATATCAATAACAGTTCTAACTGAAGAAGCATGTATAGTTTTATAAACTGTTTCATCTTGATCAACTAGTATCTTCAGGTTCAAGAGTCAATACTCTCAGTTCATTCAGTAAGTATCTGTTACATTAAATAACATATCTTGCTCTCATCATAAGAGGGCATCTGTCATCAAGTTCTGACTGTCAGAACAGTAGTGTATTATAAAATGAAAGCAGCTTAAGAACTCAGATTATCATATCTATTATTTGATAAGTTTACAGATAGTTGTGAAGTATTTAAGATTCTTATGATCTGTGATTATCTTAAATTCAGAGATACTTTGAAGTTCATAGTTTTATTCTTCTAAATAGCATACAATTGTAAGAAGTTTCTTATCATAGATCTCATAATTGCATTCAGCAGAACTCAGTTTCTTAGATATGAAGACATATGATTATAGAACATCTTCATTACTATATTGTAATATCACTTCTTCTGTCATATAGCTAGAGAAATCAGCCTCAATAACTATCTTATAATCAGAATTGAATATTATCAGCAGAGAGATATTAATAAACATCTTCTTCATCTGTGTAAATGCAGCTTCAGTGTTCACTGATCATTGAAATACTGAGTCTTTCTTAGTGAGATCTGTAAGTGATCTCATAATATCTGAGAAGTTTCATATAAATCACTGATAGAAGTTAGTGAATTCAATGAAGCTTTGTACATCTTTCACAGTATGTGAAGCTTTTCATTTCAGAATAACAGAGATCTTCTCAGAATTCATTCAAATCCCCTTACCAGCTTCTATGATGAAACTTAAGTATTTAGTACTCTTAACTTCAAAATCACACTTGTTAATATCAATTGATAGTTCTGCTTCTTATAGTTATTATAATACTCTTCACACATACTCTTGATGTTCTTTTCTGAATTCATCAGTGAAGATGAGAATGTCATCTAGATAAGTAGATACAAACTCATTAAGAAAATCTTGAAGTGCTCAGTTGATATGCTTCTGAAATGTACTGAGAGTATTAGTCAGTTCAAAGAGTGTGACTATTCATTCAAAGAGGTCATAATATGTTCAGAATGCTGTAAGCTATTCAGCTTCTTCAGTGATATAAATCTTATGAAATGCAGTGATGACATCTAGTTTTGTAAATCATTGAGCTTACTTAATCCATGCTAGAGTTTCATTGATGAGAGATAAGAAATATCAATCTTTCTTTATCAATCTATTCAGACCTCAGTAGTTCACACAGAATTGAAGTTCTTCATCTGACTTCTTTGCAAAGAGAATAGAAGCTGTAGTGAAAAAGTTATTAATATATATGAATTTTTTATCTAACAGATCATTGAGTGTCTTTCAGAGAAGAAGAAGTTCATCTTGAGATATATTATAAAGAGAGTCTCATGATGATTCAGAGTTCTTATTATTCTTCTTTTTCAACTTGATACTGTGATTCACTTCTGAACCTTGTAAGAGAGATAGATTTGTAGCATTATTATCTTATCAAAAGACATCTAGATATTCATGATATTATTGAGAGAGTTTTATATGAGAATCTGTTATTATAACACAGAATAACTTTTCTAGAGTCTTTTTAATATCAGTCAGGCTGATGAAATAGATTGACATATAATTCTACTGTTAATCATTCTTTCAGTGACTTCTTTTTCTGAGTATTTTATAGGTATTAACAGAGATCTGTGTCAGGTTCATAGTCTTGTAGATATTATTCTTGTGAATTCTATCATTATTAGAGAATATCAAGCTTCTGTTTCAAGTGTTTAACAAGATGTCTTATTCAGATAGTCAGGCAAGTTCTAATATAAGATTGTAATCAAGATTATCAACTTCATATATGTAGACATCTTCATGTTAATGTTCTCTCACATCTATGATCAGCTTCATTATATAACAGGTACAAATGTCTTTTGAATCATTAAATTCTGTGAGAAGTCAGAGTCTTGATAAGAGAAAATACTGAAGATTATGATATCTTACAACTGAAGATTTTATCATTTCATAGTATCATAGACTGCTGTCTATCATGGCTTTTATATTATATATGTTATCAATCACAGTAGATACAAGAATCACATTCATTATCATTTTCTCTTCAAATTATTGTCATCTGATCTCTTCAAGCTTCTGTTTGTGAATTTGAATAGAAGCTAATCTTTTTCCTGTTTCATTGAGATATTCTTGTAGTTATCTTCTGAATCTTTCTTCACTGCAATGTGATTGATGCAGACAGACACTGATTCATTCTTTGAATAAGAAGATACTGATCTTTCTCTCAATTGAGAAGATGCTAATCTTTCTCTTAAGTGTGGAGATATATAGGTCAATCAGCAGTTGAAAGTAATGTGTTCTAATCAGTTACAGTTGATGCATACTTCATATTGATGTCAATCAGTGACTTCTTCAGAAGTGATCCCAGGGATTCAGAAGCCTGTTCAGATGGCAGAGACCCTTGCTTATATATAGACATTCAAGTCTACTCAATTTATAGCATCTGCATCATTGTTATTCCTCAGTGTGAGTGTATGAGTCACTGAGATGTAACATCTTCTGTCACTGTTCTGTATACTCTTGAGCTTGATAAGATAATCATTCATTATTCAGAGCTGTGTATAGAAGTCTTCATAAGTCTGGTCTTCATCTACACTTACAAGAGTCTGTAAGAGTTCAAAAGTTAATATCTTCTTAAGTATGCTAATCTTCATTCAATTCTCTTAAGATTGATCACCTGCTTCTAGAATCTTGATGTTGAAGTCAGAGATGAATGTTGTAAGAGAAGTGTTTCTCTGTTCAATACTCTGTAATCAATCTAATACTTTCTGTTACATGACAGTGTCTTGAAACAGAACATCAAGATATTTCATGATATTATCAAATGTTTACAATGCTGATTCACATGCTTTCATTCATGAATGAAACTTCTGTTTCATGTGATCTTTCAATCATTCATTGATATATCAATCTTAATTGATTAATGAACTGATGACATCTTCATCTACACTTAGTTTTGTGAGCATTTTCATCCTTCATAATGAGTAGAGAGTGAGGTTGAAAGTATTGAAATATACAGAAGCATCTAAGTGTTCTTTCAGCACTTTTATATTTAATTCTGTAGGTGTTGAAATTGTATAAGTTAATCATTGAATCTCTTTGTATTGATGTTGTTGAGTTGTGTGTATATCAGCTATTTATTATTATTGTAGTTTCAACATTGCTCAGAGCCACTGTGATACTGTGTCTATACTTGTGTTTGAGAGTTCTCTCATATTATCATTAGACATGATTATATCATTTGTCAGATGTGTGATATCTATGAAATCTGAAGAAGTGTAATTGTATGAATATCTCATATATCTGAGTGTCAGAACTCTCAGGTCTTTCACTGACATTCTCTTTGTAAGATCTTATTACAGAGTCAGAGTGACTGATGAGTAAGCTTCTATCTGAGAACTCAGTGTCTGCTTAACTGTTTGACTGTTTCTCTATTTCTTACACATTGTTACACATTCAGATATCTCTTGATGAATAATCATTTCTAATGAGAAGATAATGTGTGAATAATTATTTTCTAATAAGAAGATGATGAATATTTTTCTAATGTAAGAGGCCTACACTGAATAGATCAGTATGATATTGATAGATCTTATATAACAAAGAGACAAATGTTAAAGAAGAAAAAGAAAGAGAAAGTGTAGAAATCAGTGATCAGAGTGAATATTTATACATGTATATGATAGTATACACAGTGGAGCTTCAGAGCGGAAGAATCTATACGCGTTCATGACAGCCGAGAATCAGTGATTGAGAATGGCTGAGAATCGGGGTGTACATGTTCAATAGTGAAATGAAAGAATCTATGAAGTGAAGCAGAAGAATCTATGAAGTGTAACGGAATAGTCTATATGATTGATCGGGCGCAGCCCGTCACAGTGTGATCAGAATTCTTTGATTTTAATATCATCTCAATTAATTCTTGAAACAGGCGACTTCTGGGGACAGCAGGCCTCTTAGTGAAATTATTCTCTATGACAGATCATAGAGAATAAGCAGATAGTTGAGACTTCTTGAGTATAATAAAGTGAGATTTGGCCTGCAGAGTGATCACAGATTATATATAGTTGTATAGTCAGATATTCTGTTCTGATCAAAAATGTTACATATTCATACTGACATTCTTGTCAGAATTAATCTGCTTATCATTAAGAATGTCATCTATTTCAGATTATCTTATTGTGAGCAGAATCTCTTCTTTTCACATAGAATAATTTACAGAGTTAGTGAGTATAACAGACTTCTTTATAGGTCTTACTTAATCTCTGAATTCATTAAGAATCTTCATCAATGCAGATGTTCTACTCTTTCATTCAAGATAGTTCATTAAATCTATACTAAGCCCTTTATTTTCACCTCTGTCTGTCTTTATTCACTTGACTTCATGCTGAAGTCTTGCAATTTCTAGTCTCATGCAAGTCTTCTCACTTACAGAGCTATTGTCATTCTCATCACTTGAGTTCTCTGCATTGTCTGACATCTCACTGATGCCTTCAATCAAGTCTTTATATTTATTGAACTTGTTAGACTGTTTCTCTGTGATAGTTTCATTCAGCTCAAACACCTCAGAAGCTGCCTTCTGATTCATTATTAGTATTGACAGTGATCTGTGATCTTGTGTTTACTGCTCTGATGTTTTCTCATTTCTTTGTCTTAGAGACATGTATTCTTTTGTTAAGTCAGATGTCCCTCTGAATCTTAGATTAATCATGAGTTCAATCACTTAATAAATCATCTAGACATGCTTGTAACAATGTGTGAAGATGTCAATTGCACATTATTGCAGTTATTCATAAGCTTGTGAAAGGACTTCATAACCTCTTGAAGAATAATATTGTTATATTATATGTAATCTATCTACGCGAGTTACACTAAATAGGTTGAGGTGGCACGTGACTAGGGTAGGTGTAGTAATCATCAACAGAAAGACATCATGAATCTCTGATAATATGTCAAGACAGTAGTTATAACTATCTAGAACTTCTATCACTTTATACTTAATATAACAGTAATTCAGTGTATGAGATAAGCATGTAATCTGTATGTTTTTGAGATTCAATTACACAAGATCTTCTATTTTATACTGGTTCATAAGATCTTCTTGAATATTAACTTGATTTCTTGATTCTGTTTAGTGCTTGTCATGAAGACATCTACTCAGTCACAGATATCTCAGAGCTTCATTACTATATTATCAGTGATCTGAATTGAACTGCAGAGATTTGATGTGAACTGTGTAATCTCTAGAAGATTCAACACTTTCATGTAGTATCTGTGTATAAGTAAGAACAGACTTATATCTGTTGAAATGACATCTTGATCATTGATAGTGATCTCTGTATATAGAAGAAGATCATGTCAATTATGTTATAAGTAATTGTAGAACTTATAAAGATAATTCTTTACAGTCTGAATTGTCTGTTCTGGCACATTATCAGTCTCAGAGTGATAGACAGTTGATAAATAATATATAATCTTGAGAACTTGACAGATTCTTGTTCAGAGAGCACTCATGAATTGATAACTTTAATTCAATACTATAGATCTCAGTAATTCATGCATTCAGTAGAATAAGCTCTGTAGAAAAGCTTCAGTGACTTATTTAGTATTCATCTTATCACAAGATTTCAATATTACATCTTTGCTCAATTGATTCATATTTCACAATGATCAGAATGTTTCTACAATTCTTACTCTGAGAGAGATTAACAGTGAAGTCAATTATTACATCTCATCAGATTCTATCAGAAATATCAAGCAGTTTCAGCAGGCCTTTTCTATGATTCTTTCATCAGATGATGAAAGAACAACAGTTGCAGTTTCAGATAAAACATCTGATGCTGTTTAATAACTCAGATCAGTAGAATTTTCAAGAGATTATTCAGTACAGTTGTTCATGATCTGAATGACTGATTATACATGAATTATACATCTCTTGCATTATTCAGGTGTATAAGAGTTTGAAGTGAGAAACTCAGCATCATTCATAGAATTGTAGAGTATTATTATCATCAATTGAATATTATGAGATGTCAGTTCTTATACATAGTTCTGAGAAAAATCAGAGTGTCTCTTGTTATACTGCTTCAGTGAGTGCTTGAAGAAGTTCATCAGTTTAAGCTGCTGTATGTCACAGTTTATCTAGTGTAGATTCAGAAGAAGTTGAGATAACAGTGAGAGTTCTAATCAGAGAAGTATGTATAGTATTATGAACTATTTCATCTTGATTAACTAATATCTTCAGATTCAAGAGCTGATGCTCTTAGTTTATTCAGTGAGTATCTGTTACATTGAATAACATATCTTACTCTTATTATGAGAGAACATCTATTATTGAGTTCTGACTG